AATTAATTAATATTAACATTAATTTAGATTCAATAATTTTTCACTTGATGAATTTGGAATTATATAAATCTAACGTTATTATAGATGAATTTATTCATATTCATGTATCTGAAAATTTTAATGTTTATTTAAATTTATATATTAACAATTAATTTTTATGTATCAAATGTAATATAAAGAGATTGCTCATTTATAGTATTTCATCATTAAAAAAATTTTGAATCATAGAAATTGAGTTTTAAGAGTACGATTTGAGTACAATTTTCTTATCTTAAATTTCTATACTAAATTTTATTTTCTTTAATTCGTTCGAGACTCATTGAATCCTCCAACAAATTGGTACCAAATATTATATCACTTATAAAATATGTTAGAATAACGTGCAATGCACATTCAACTTTGACTAGTAATGAAAAAAGTGAAGAAAATGATTAAATTCTTTTCATTTGGTATAGCTTTTGGTCTAATGGGTTGGATATGATTTTCAATTTGGTGTAGGGTTGGAGATGACTTTAGTCTCTGTTTTGTAAAGATTAAAACCAAATTTTTAGCCAATTTTGATGATAGTTATTAAAATTTGTGGTTAAAAAGTTATGAATCCAATAAAATGTATTATTAATTGATTGAACTTGAAATTAAAATCAAATTTAAATTTACACTAAGCAGGGACTTAAGTGTATCGCTAAAAAATTTTAAAGTTCTCAAATGTATTCATATTCATCTTGTTAGAAATAAAGCGATACTAATTTTCTATGATACCACTTGTTATGATTTAAACAAGTATGATATAGCAATATGGAATTAGGTCAAACAAGAGCACAAGATTTAAACGGTAAAAATATAGCACGAGCAAAAAATGAGAATTTTTTTAATTTTAATAATAGAGAACTAAAAATTATTGTGTAGAATGTAAGGATTGATTTAATATGTATTGTATACCACAACACATATATATAATAATAAGATCCCTAACATACTAGGAATATAATATAATGTGAAGTCTCAAATAAAATGGGTAAAATTAATAATGAAATATTTGGGATGAAATAGGAATAGAAAATTGCTAAAATGTAAACAGAAACTAATTGCAATTTGGACTCCTTCAAGATCTATTAAAGTCTACTACCAACTCCTAAATTGAATTTCAACTTTAATTCTCAAATATACTTCGACTGTAATTCTCAATTGGACTTCAAATAGAATTTTCAAGTAGTCTTCCAATTAAAATTCGAGTCACACTAATTATAATAAACTCCAATTTGACACGAACTTCAAAAAATTCTCTACCTAGAGACAAATTTCAATGCAAAGACAAAACTTAACTCTTCGACCAAAAACTTTTCCACGACAAATGCTCCAACAAAAATTTTCCACCTCTTCCACAAACCCCAATTAGGGAAAACTCAATAACTGGAGAAAAACAAAAAAACACAACAACAACTAAATCCAAACACTACTCAACAGGATTACCTTGAGCATCAAAGTTGCTCGAATTATCCCATGGGCAACAAAATAACAATAATGTAATATTGACCAATCAGGGTAGAAACATACCTTGTAACGAAATCAACACAAAATGCTTCTGAAGAAGGTTTTTGCTTCACCGTATCTTTGTGGAAGCCTAATATCTCTTCTTGGTCAGTGTTTAACAATTGAATACAATAGCACCGCTGATGATTGTGGCAAAGCGGCATTACTCATAACTTCTTAACTCAACTGAGGTGTATTATTTAATGTGGACCCTAAATCAAACTCCAACAGTATTGAACCAAACTTAAAATACACTTAAGTCTTTCACTTATGCTAATTGATATTTAAAGATTGTGTGGAATCAAGCAAGACATATAACTGGGACATTTTTGTCCATTCAACACAACATAGACATTTTTACTAACCTTCAGGACTCAAGATTGAGAATTGCTAGAGTTTATTTCAATATTCCATTCTTACTACACAAGCATACATATACCCTTTTAAATCAAGAGTATTCAATGAGATAAGGTTTCTCTTCAAATCGGAAACACATCTCACAACATCAAGTGTTCTGACAATCCCATTGGATGTCTTAATTCTGACCCTTTCGTTACCAATTATCCTACAAAGTGACCTTTGGAAACTATTTCATATGTTGAAAACAAATCTCAACTAGGATGCACATGAATAAAATCCAATCCTTGTCAGGTTTGAAGTCCCCATAAATAACCAAAAGTTCTCCATTATTGTACCTAACATCTGCAAAACTAACTTTACCTGAAGTTTCTAATTGTTTTTCCTTCCAATTTGCAGTAGCTAAATTTTTCTTCTTCTACAACTTATAACAATCATTTCTGATATGCCCCCATCTCTTGCAATAATTACAAACTTTATAATTGTAATTAGACCTTAATCTATCCTCACATAATCACAAGCAATAACAAGGCCATCTATTTAAACATCAGATCTAATAAGATGCATCATCTTCTCCTTTGAAAATAAAGCATCATCAAATTCTTCTATGGTGAGAGTATCACAACTTTATAAGATCCCTAAATAACATGTACAAAACGGACAACAAACACAATAATATTAATCCTAAATCTTCTTCACCATATTTGACCTCCAAGATCTCCAAATCAGCGACAATTTTATTAAAAGCAACTAGCTGTTCTTCCAGTGATGTACCTTATATCATACAATGAGAATAAAGATGTTGTTTCAAATGCTATTTACTGGATAGACTTTTCATCATGCTTAATTGCTTCAGTTTTAATAATGCAACTGTAATTTTCTCCTTCAAAATATTCTGAAAAATATTATTTGAAAAATAAAGATGTATTTGTGATATGGTCTTTTGATTCTTACATTGTCTCTCCTCCATAGACCAAGTTGACGGAATCTTGTCAAATCTAACAACGCGTCATCCAAATACATCTGAGCGAGTATTTCTCGCATCTCTACCCGCCAAAGCTAAAATTTGGTGTTACGATCCAGCAATGGAATATGCTTCATAGTTTCTATCACAAAAAATAAAACCTCAAACTGAATTTATCGAACCTCACTCTGATACCACTTACTAGAGATAAAGAGATACCAATTTGCTATGATAACACTAATTATGATTTAAATGAGTAAAATAATATGACACTACAAAAGTTAGATTAAACGAGAAATACGACAGAAAGAAGAGAATTTTATTGATATCAATAATGGAGGATTAAAAATTATTGAGTAGAATATAAAGATTGATTTTATATGAGTTGTGTACCACATATATATAATACTAAGATCCTTAACATACTAGGATATAATAAATTGAAGAGTTTAATATAAGGTGAAGTCTCAATATAATGGATAATACTAGTGATGAAATATTTGGGATGAAGTAAGAGTTAAAAACTGTCAAAATGCGAACAGAAACTAATTGCAATTTGGATTCTTTCAAGACTATTTCAAATCTACTATCAACTCCCAAATTGAATTCTAACATAAATTCTCAAATAGACCCTAATTAGAATTTTCAACTGGACTTCAAATTGAACTCTCAAGTAGTCTTTCAAATAGAATTCGGGTCACGCCCTAATTCTAACACAATCCCTATTTGACAATCATTATTTGAGTAAAATGAAGTTTTGAATAGTAATTTTTTTAGAGAATGTGTGATTAAAAAGTAGGAAAAGATTTTAGGTTTACGTGCAAAATATTTTATTGTATGAATGTGTGGTTGAAAATAAGTACGTAGAATTTTATTTTATTTTATTTATTTATTTATTTTTTGAAACAATAGTTATCAAACAGAGTTTCAGCCCTTGTTTGAGTCACATTATTGGAATGAAAATGTATTTTTGAATAATATATTGATGAAAAATGTGTGGTTAAAAAATAAAGAAAAATTTTAAATTTATGTGAAATATTATTTTATTAAAAAATATGTGATTAAAATAATGTCAAATTACTATTGAAAAATATATATTTTTTCAAATAATGTGGCTCTCACAACTATCAAGTTGATATTGCACGAGTTCACACAGGAAGTCTACTTCAATCTCAAATTGTACGAGTCTATATATAGCTTAGTCAAAGAATATTCTACAATAATAAATCACATTTTATTCTACAATAATAAATCACATTTTATTCTCAATAAATGTATTATGATGTGCATTAGAGGGTGTTTGGTAAGAATTTTTATGTGAAAATGCATTTTTGAATAGTAAATTGATGGAAAATGTGTGGTTGAAAAATAAGAAAAAAAATTTGATTTACGTGTAATATTATTTTAATAAAGAATATGTGGTTGAAAAGAAGAGAGAAAAATATATTTTGATAAAAATGGATGCCAAACAGGGCCTAGTCTTTTTCTTCACCGCTACATTTAGTTGAAAAGTCAATTTTAAGAAGAAGAAATTAATATATATGGTGAAGTACAGAGTCTACATAGTAAAACTTATGTCTATAAACTTAGCCCCGTTTGGTCCCCATTGCTTTGGAAATGATATTAGTGGAATATTATTTCTTTTTTAAAATGAGTGATTGAAAAAAAAAATTTCGATTTACGTGTAATATTATTTTATAAAAGATTGTATAGTTGAAAACATGTAAAAAAAAATAAAATGTAATGAAATAAAAATTAATGGGGCCAAACAGGGAATTAGTTTATCCCTCAGTATACTTTTTTTGATGTGAAAACTTAGCACACGGAGAGAAGTAAGAAAGTCAAAAATTCAACTTGATTGAAGAATAAAAAGTAGAAAAAAAATATTATTTTGGAATGGTAATGGCAGTGCCACGCACAAAAATTTGGTCAAGTCAAAGTGTCAAACTTTAAAGTACCCTTGTTAACTATAATAATAATCACTATAAACCGAGTTTAAGTGTATGGATTAATAAATTAATTATAATTGAAAACCCAAATCCCTATTGCGGCGTGTAAAACTTTCTTTCTCCCACATGCCACCTTTTCTTCGCCACTTTCAAACCTCTATATGACTATATATATCTATATAAATACAACCCATTTCTGTATCCTCTTTGTATTAATCCTACTCTCTTTCCATTTGTTTCTCTCTCTGCTCTCTCTCTCTCTCTTTCTAAAATCTCTCAAATCCATCAATACCTTTTCGTGTCAATCAATCAGTTTCTCCATTTAGCGTAATATGGAGCATCATGTCAAGGGAGGTGGAAGTTACAACCAAAGTGAAGAAGAATTAATGGAGCTCCGCCGAGGTCCATGGACCGTCGAAGAAGACTTCACCCTTATCAACTATATCGCCCACCACGGCGAAGGCCGCTGGAACTCCCTAGCCACCTGCGCCGGTAAAAAAATTGTACTCCCAGAATAATTGACAATATTTTTACCCCTTTTCCGTTTTAAACTATCGAGTACTATCTAATCTAATCTTCTTGTGCGCCATGTATATATGCATAATTCATTGTCTGTACGGCATAAACTTAAAAGTAAAGGCATATCCTCTGCAAGCTGTATATATTGGATGGGGTGGGTTGGGGTGGGGTTGATAAGGAAAAGGCATATGTTGTACGAAAAGTGAAGAAATTTTGATCCATTTTTTTTTTCTAGTACGTTTCTTTCTTTTCTTTTCTTTTTTCTTTTTTTTTTTCCCGTCGGCTAATGAAAATTTTGATGGTATAGGTCTAAGGAGAACTGGAAAGAGCTGCAGATTGAGATGGCTAAATTATTTACACCCCGACGTTCGACGTGGAAATCTTACACTTGAAGAGCAAGTTATGATTCTTGAACTCCATTCTAGATGGGGTAATCGGTATGTTAATACTTAAAATTAATCTTTTTGATCCATGTGAAACAATTATCTCACTTTGCTTAAATATGAATATGAGTTTCTTGGGTAAACTAATGATTTTGAATTGATATAGGTGGTCCAAAATTGCTCAACATTTGCCTGGTAGAACTGATAATGAGATCAAGAATTACTGGAGAACACGAGTCCAAAAACATGCTAAACAGCTCAAATGTGACGTGAACAGCAAGCAATTTAAGGACAACTTGCGTTATCTTTGGATGCCACGATTGGTTGAGAGAATTCAAGCAGGAGCCGCCTCGACTGGGCCGACGGTAGGGACTTTCTCAACCACCACTGCCACTAACAATCACTCCGGCACCATCACCGCCGCTAATTACCATCTCAACAAAACTAATCTTGACATGGGCTCAAGCCGAATGGTGCTGCCGCAGCCTAACATGGCTGGCAACTTTAGTGGTGGCGTTCAGATTAATCCTAGCAACTACGCGCCGGAAACTTCCTGCAACGCCGCCTCATCAGACTCATTTGGAGCACAAGTTTCGCCGGTTTCAGACTTGACAGATTGTTACAATTATCCAGCTAATCACAACAATAATCAAGATTATTTTCCACCTAGCGAGCTGTCATATCAAGAATCTTTCAGTCAAGGGTTAGATTTCAACAACAGCAATTGGATGGACGGTGGGGATTCATGGGATTTGGATGATGTGTGGAAATTCTTACAACAGTAATTTTACAGGAAGTCTGTAAAATAATAAACCAAAACTAATTAAGGGGAAAATTTTCATTTGTAGAAAAGAGTCATCATCTCATCAACTAGAATATAATATATATAGTTTTTAGGTAACACAATATAATTTGACAGTCAACTTAATTTGGATTTACATGTCTAGATTCTTTTGTAATTTTTACTTTTTAAATTTTAATCCATGGTAAAAGAAATTTTAACTTGTTGGTTTACTTCCTGACATTTTGATAAACCGAATGAACTCGCACTCGATAGTGAATATAAAGTAAAAAATAAAAATAAAAACAGTATTTATCATATCAGTACGATTTAATATTGTATACATGTAAAACACGCATTCGTAGTATTATTATTTAAAATTGAAAATATTGTCATGGTTCCCTTTTTTTTACTAATTTATGATTATGATTGCAATATAGAATTTTAATTTCTTGTAATTAATATAATGTTGTGGATGATGTGCATAATTGGTTCCACTATCTTTATAAACAAAAAATGTCTTTGTTACTTCTTATTTTATTATTCTAATTAGTGGTGGCATTTTGGAAACATGGGCTATGGGGCCTGAATCAGATTAAGAGATCCCTTAATTTGTTCTAATTCTAGATTAAGGAAAAAAAGTATCCCAAGAATAATTAAGGGAACAAAATATTCTTAATTTTATATAGTAAATTTGATTGTTAAGTCATCCACTAATGTGATCTTATCATATTTTAAAATGCACGTGGCTTGAAAGGATACGTATGAACAATAATTCCCGTTATCCTTTAATTTATTAATAATCCTATGATGTAAGAACAATCTTATTTTGATTCTTCTTGTTTTCCTTAGTACGGACATAGTTTGTTTGAAGCAACAGAACTAAACAATCTTATTTCCAGCAATCAAACCATTATTCCATTTTCACACACACTCGTGTTTAAAAATTTATTGAATAAAATTCGGAGAGTTGAGGAGATTGATAATGGAAAGAGTTTCGCTATTCAAATAGGGCCAATGACAGGTCGAGGTGTTGGCAACACCTCGACCCTTGATTGTTATGCTGCAAGCCCCATGAAATTCAAGACAAGGGCCGAGGTGCCACCTCGGCTCTGGATTTAATCCCAGGTTTTGTAGCAGAGCCCTGATGGAAATATTCGTACATTTATATATTTTTACATTATTTTTATGATTTATTGAATGTGTAATTATTTGAATTGTTTTTTAACGATGGTCAAAAAATCATCTAAAAAAAGCTTGTTTATCGAGAAAATAAATTGTGATAAATACTATATATATATATATATATATATATATATATATATATATTTTAAAGAAAATTGCAGTATGAAAGATCATGATTATGGTTAACACTGCATTTTATTATAATATTTAGCACATATGTAACATATGATAAAATGTAGTAGTGAATATGCTTCGGAAATTAAATTTATAACATGTCGGTTGACAAATTCAATTATACGTCTTCAGCCACTGGAAAAAATAATGGAAAAAGAGAATGTTTCAATTTTGGGACCATTAGTAGAATAGGCTTCAGAAAATTAAATGGAAAACATATTTGACAGTACTATTAGAATAAGTTTTAGAATTGTAATTTTTTGGAGGAAGTGTGATTAAAAAAAAATTAATTTGAATTTATATACAGAATATTTTATTGTGAAAATTTAAGGTTAAAAATAAATTTAAAATAAATTTATTTTAATGATCATCAAACTGGGCTAAAGCCACAAAAGGACGGTGAATATGAAGTCAAGAATTAAAAACGTGAAGGAATAGAAGTATTGAAGACACGAGGGGCGGACGACGGCGGCGGGCGGGCGGGGAATCATTAGAGGTGGCGGTGGCGTGTCCTTTAGTGAAGCCACCAAAAGTGGTCCTAAAGGGGCTGAGTGTGCTGGAGCTTCCACGTGTAGAGTATGAATAGTATATCATTTTCTAGTGTATAAAAGTTTGTTTAGACTTCCTCAACCGTCGGCAACAGAATTGGATTAAGTTTGTGGTCGGAGTGGCCTCTCCGGTTCACGTCTCGTCTAGTATTTTCGATAAGAGTGGATCTTTTTCAATCGAATCGAGTATCAATAGGTATTTTAAAAATGAAATCATTAACTCCTTTTCTAACCTTTGGAATCGAGCCTATCGATTTCTGTCCAATTCAAATCTTCGCGTTAAGTTCTCAAATTCAACAATTATAAAAATGAAGTATTTAACTATAAAATTATTTTTAAGCATCTAAATTCTCCCTAATATATTCATTAAAACGACTTATATTGATGTTAATTATTTGCATTTTCTAAGTTTAAATACACACCACAATTTATATCAAATGCTTAATTATTTATTTGAATGAGTATTTAAAAATAGCAGTAATATTCATAGTCAATAATTGCAATTGTCATGGTACATGGCATCTTACGTTAAATAACATTATTAAAAGCTATTCATTTTCAAATTATTAAATTTTGCCACGTATGATGATTATAATCGTTGACAATAAATATCAGTATTGATTTAAAAAATATATTCCAATTCCACTTCTATGTGTGTTTTTTTTTTTTTTCGCACTTTCAGTGACTAGAAATATGAACTTCGAAAGATGATAGGAATTCAAACCTCTTATCATTCCAAAATTAAATCTATAGAATTTAATGAATCATTTTATCTGAGTTTATAAATAACACCATATTAGATTAAGAGCCTATTTGGGAGTAATTTTGAGAATTGATTTTTTGACCGTTAAGAGAAAAGTGTGGTCTACCTGTAAGAAAAGAAGTCAAATATAACGGGTGGAATAGTGAAGTAACAGTCAAAAAATTAATTTTTTGGGTGAAAAATCGCTTCCAAACAGGCCCTGTATATGAGTTTAATGTACTATAGTAAAATTCATAATAAAAGAGTAAAATGATTGGCGCATTGGGCCGGCCATCGCTCAAAGTAAAAAAGTGAAAATTTGATTAGATCAGGCTTTTTGATTATGGTATTAGAACCAAAAATTGGAAAGGAGTAGATCGATTCTCAGTTTTTATACCAATAAACTGTTAGAACTTGATTAGAACTGGATCAAATCGATCGATTTCAAAACTGTTCTAATTTGATCCAATGATTTTGATAGTTTTTGTCCATCCCTAATTTTTGGAGAGCAGGGTAGGACGTGACGAGATTAAAATAACTCAACTTTCCATCCCCATTAATTATTTACGTGTTTATTTTATATTTAAAATAAAGTTGATATTGTAGAACATAAAAAACATAAATAAAATATAAGAAATTAGTGCTACCACAATGACTATATTCCCACCCTCGCTACCGTCCCATTTCCCCAATTAGACGGGGCGAGATTAAACATTTTGCTTCCTTCTTCGTCGATAGATGTAGTTAGAATTGAGCACATGAAACAAATTAATTGTTAAAATTTCACACAATATACATTAATTGGAAAAATTGCATATTGTTCCCAACTTATTATCAGCATAGTTAGTTTGTCTTCGTCATTATCAAACAATTAATCTTTAATAACAAAAATCATTCGACTATCTATCAAACCATCCTCTTGAATTTAATAAAGATATGTTTTACTTCCTAACTTAGGTCGGTGTTTTGAAATTTGAAATGGGATATGTTTTTATGAGAAATTATTTGTAATTCAATGTAATTTGGTCGAATTTTGTTATTAGTGCAATTATAATATGTTATGAACCAACTTATTTTTTTTTAAATATCAAGGACTAATAGTGCAATTTTTTTCTTAATATAGGTTTAACTATACAAATTGTTAGGACCAATGTAAATAAAATAAAATATATTCATTAAGAAACCCTCTCAAATAGAGATTTTTTTTTTGTTTTTTGACCATATTATTTTTTGACTCCTCTAAAAGGAAAAGTGTCAATTTGATTATTTATTCATCTGGGTCTAATAGATTCTATTTTTCTCCTTTTTTAACGGAAGTTACCTATTATGCATAAAGTAACTTTTATCCGTTCAGAGATGACCCTTCCACTTGGTACCATCGGATCACCAAGGGTGACTTTCGTCCTCGCTAGATGGATGAATCTTGCAATCAAGCTTCCTTTTGTCTAAAAATATAAACAATATTTTTTTATTTAACAAGTGAATAGTAAAATTAATTATTAATTTTATCTTCAATCCAATATTTAACTTATGTATTACATGAAATATACTTCGTATGGACGCAAGTTTTACACATCTACGTGTATATATATAAATAATATATTTGAAGTCTCTTATTATTCAATTCAACTTTTAAAGTGGGCAGTGATGACCCTTGACACTCCCTATTGACATTAAAAATATTAAAACGCAATTAAGTAAATTTAATAATCTTAATAATACCAATCACACATTTTCAACGAAGATTGAGCCCCGTTTCGGCCCCATTTTTTTGAAATGAAAATGAGTGCCATAGTGTTTTTTGAAAAATAAGTGATTAAAAAAGAAGGAAAATTTTCGATTTATATGTAATATTATTTTAGGGAAGATTGTGTGGTTGAAAATGAGAGAAAGAAAAATAGAATATAATTGAATGAAATTAATGAAATTCAAACGGGGCTAAATGTGATGAGATCCAAGAAACTCTTTATAAACACAGATAATTAACGAGAAAAGCATTTGTAAAAGTTCTGACTTCAGACTAAGAGAATGTTTGGTAGAAATTTTAATTCAATTAACATTAATTTTTTGACTGTTATTTTACCATTCCAATCATCATTTTTGAATTCTTCTCTCACAAATAAGACCCACTTTATCTTTCACAGTCAAAAAATTAATTAATAAAACCTCTACCAAATAATCTCTAAACAATATTGATTGCTAATCCGTTGCTTTTCAAAGCCGAATTGAGACCTTTGAGAATAGAGCAGAAAAAGTGAAGTCGGTACGACTGTGAACGTGTTAATACTAAATGAAATCTGCAAAGTGTAATTACATGTATTTTATTTATTTATTTATTTTTTCTTTGGTGCTAAAGTAGATTGGACCACTCAGACAGGAGGCATTTTGAGACTTAGGTTTGGCACATTTGTCGATCTTGGGACCGACTTCATTTAATATTTTTTAGTTACATTTTTAAGTGCTTGTAAATAGTTACTCTTATAGAATGTACGATTAAACATTAAGTAAGAGTATGTTCGGTAGTGATTATGATAATTGATTTTTTGACTGTTAGAAAGAAAAGTGAGTTCCACC